GGGGGTGAGGGCCATGAGGGTCGCAAGGAGCGAGTATGAGTTCTTCATCATTAAAGAATAATATTCATCATCAAAGCCGTATTAATAACGTTATTAATGACCTAATTTACTTTGTTAATTAGTGAGATGAGCAGAATATTTTTTTCTATTTGTGAATCAATAGGGAGCAAAATGTAAACTTTTCAGAAGGGCTGAGGAGGGTTTTATAAGGGCCATGAGGGTCACAAGGACCGAATATGAATTAAAGTTCTTTATCATTAAAATAATATTAATCATCAAAACCGTATTAATAACCTTATTAATTAATGAATTAAATTAGTAGGGATGAGCAGATTTTTCTATTTGAGTTTTTTCTATTTGGATTTTTTTCTATTTGTGAATCAATAGGGAGTAAAATGTAAACTTTTCAGAAGGGCTGAGGAGGGTTTTATGAGGGCCATGAGGGTCGCAAGGATCAAATAAGAGTCAAGAGTATGAGCAAATTTAGAGACGAATTCTTTCATTTAAATTAGTAATGTAGAATTAATTGGTTAAAAATAAGTTATTAGGTCTTTATCATTGACAAATAATATTAATTCCCAAAACATTACCATTTAGTAATTAATTAATATTAATTGCCAAACTCATGAGGGCTTTATAAGGGTATGAGGGTCACAAGAATCAAATAAGATTTAAAGCTTGAAATTTAGATCATTTGAGGCCATGACGATATGTTGTTGAGACTTTGGGGTAATTTTTGTTTGTGTTTTTTAGATTCTTCGTGGAAGAACAGGTGGGGAGGAAGACTGCATCATTTCAGGAGGCCTGGCGATGTCCGGCCGAAGGAGGAGAGGAGACCTACTGTCGCTGAAATTGCTCAGCAGAAGTTTGTTCTTCAGAAGATCAATGGGTGGAAGGTTTATCAGCTCACAGCGCAGATGGAGGACCTTGCGGAGTTGGAGAAACAGGTGAAAATGGTTTTGAAGGATCACTCAATTAGTTCATTATTGCAGTGGTAAAATGAGGAAAAAGGGAATTTTATAATTTGAAGATCAGTTTTTCTTTTTTTTTTTAGATCGAATATTTTCCACGGGAATTTTTTCATGTGAAGAAAGTTGACAAAGATTTCAGAGATTTTATTATAACGTCGAAATTTCTGTTTGAAGATTGACTTGAAGGGAAATTCATATTGAGCTAATTTTTTTACCAATATTTTTAGATCGATGGGGAATTCACTAAAAAATGAATTAATGGATTAACATAAATTAAATTAAATTAATATTGCTTTCCATGTGAAAATTGACGGAATTAATTTTTTTTTCAGGTGCATGAGAAATTGAAATCCACTCTCCTAATGCTAGAGTCTCAACAGCCCACAAAGAATCGCCAAGACGACGGTATCGAGCGTGCAAATGAATTAATCAAAGGAAATATGCAGAGAAGTAGTTTAATAAGTGAAGGTATGAGTGAAGCGAGGACTCAACTTATCGCGATATTCCAACACAAGGATCACGTGAGTGATATGTTGCAGCGTTGTGGTAACAAACGATCGCAAAAAAAGCGTGACAAATGAATGGAATTAGTGGACTCTTCGGGGTTCTCCAAGAAGTCAAACTTTGGGGTTTCAGAGACTAAATATTTATATCTTTCAGTGTTTTTTTAAGTCATGCAGAGAATAGATTATATTCGATTAATACAAAATGTTTTCCAGCACCTCGTGGTTTCATTACTCCACACTATTTCTACTTCATAATGTAAGAATTAGCTAATTAATTAATTGTTAATTATTTTTGTAATGACGAAAATTTTTTCACAAATTGGAAAAATATTTTTTTTGCTTTAGAAAAATCGCAATATCTCCGAGACTATTGGGTTAATCGAAAAATGGCATATGATATTTTTTTTAGAGAATTAAATTTCCCACAGAAAAGTGCTTATGACTTTTTTTGCTAGACCTAATGGTTCTCGAGATATTTGAAGTTTTCTTGAGGATGAAAATGAAGAAAAAATTTGCTGACTGGAATAAATTAGTGGATAAGGACTGGTTGCTAGGGAAACGTAATTTCTGTTTACAATTGATTCGTCAGGAGGTGCACAGACTTGAAACAGTGTTTTTGTGGTTAATTTAATTGATTATTTGATTAAAAATGTTGTGGGGAGGGAGTCCACCTGTGGATTTCTCGTCTGAACTCGAGAAAAACAGTGATAATCCCCTGGAGATCTTGATAATTGGGGCTTGTGATGCCAGGCACATCATCAAGACCCTCTCGTCTCTGGAGAGAACGTCGACACGAGTGAGGTTTCACGCCATGGAGGCGACCCTCGAGGACATTGCGAGGTCTATTCTTCTTATTAACATCTCGTTAGAGAAAAAATTGGGTAAATTATTGCGTACTCTTTTCGTAATTCCAGTTCTACATGATTTTTTTTCATTTCTGGATATGAGAATTGAATGCGAAATACTAGAGATGCATTTTTCATCTCGATAAATGGGGGAGAATTAATTAGTTATAGACCTAATTATCATGTTTTTGATCATTTAAAAAAATTATAAAAAGGGAAGAGATATTTTTTTGTAGAAAAATCTATAGAATATTAAGGAAACAATTGTCTTTTGATTAGATCAAGAGTCACTGATCTTTTTAATGATGATTTACTCAATTTCGTTAATTACAATTAATCAAATTGATTGTAATTTAATCGAGTCAATTAATTAATCATTTTAATTAATTAATTGTTGATTTTAAAAAATTGTTTGAATGAAAGGGTTTCAGGAAGCAAGTCGATATTTTCTCGAAGTCCTGGGAAATACCCTGATCACCCCAGGAACAGCGAAATATCTAATTAAAACGATAAAGCGATTGATTGACGTAATTACCCAGACGTACCCCTGTCCCTGGTTGAGTCTGGAGGGGTTAAAGTACAGGGACAGAGATGGTATCGAGGCAATCTTCAAGTAAGTCTTCAAAAAGACATTTTCTCTTCGCTAAAAAAAAATCAGAAGCAAAGCGGTAAAACTATTCAAGTCGATTTTGACCAATAGTCATTTTTCAACGAATATCTCGGAATCTAAAGGAGATAGCAAAATTTTTATGGGAACCTTTTTTGTAGCCCTCAATTTGCTCTATAAAAAAGGTCATTACAAAATTTTCGTTATCTCCCTTAGATTCGGAGATATTCCTGAAAAACTCAGGTGAGACTGAATTGAAAAACATTTTCTCTGCATTTAAACAAAATGAGAAAATTGTTTCGGAAAGGTTTTGGGTGAGAGCTCTCTGCGAAGGTGTTCCCATCGTCGAGTACTGGGACAAGAGGGTCCGAGACTCTCTGAAGACCCGTTACGACTATCGGGATGGGGTCTTCGACTGGGATTACCACATGGTGCTCATGTCGACGGGGCTGAAGTACCTGACGATTCGGGAGTACAAATTCTGGAGGAGTAACGGCGTTGCTTTCACGTGGATCGAGACCGATCCCACGAGGAGTAATCCCACTTTGCTGAGTGGAATTCATGCTGTGGGACAGGGGTTCATTCATTACGCGTACAAGGGGGATATCAGAAATGGGCCCTATTTCACGTGGTCACTGGATGATCTCAACAGAAATCCGTAATGTTTTCACAATTATTTGAAATTGCATGAAATTTTTTCATTCGATTGAATGACGAACTGCGAAAATTGTATTTTATTTTACGAAGAATATTATTATTTATTTAATTAAATAAATAATGATATTATTATTGATAATAATAATTACAGAATTTTGAGAATTATTTTTTAAAATTTACTCTTTGGTGTTGCGAACGTTTTCTTTGTTTTACACTTATATATATTTCAATAACGTCAATTATATAAAATTTCTTCTAAATTCGTAATTTAATTTAATTTTAACTCCGTTTTAATGAGTGACGTGTCAGTTTTCCATATTTGATTATTTAAATTGTTAATTGTTATTCTTGAAGGAAATGGAAAGATATTTTATGCAGAAAATGTCTTTACATTTTGTTCTCTGCATGGAAATTCGTTCAGTGAATTCGTAAATTGGTTTTGACGTGTGAAAAATCATTCATGAAATTCTGTGTGACGCAACGCAAATGGGATCTTCCAGCAAGCTGAGGGCCACTGACGTGGCCGAGGGTCAGGTCCTCAAAGCGATTTATCAGATTAGAAACAGGGAAGAGTGCCCAGACAATTTTATCGCTGCCCACAGGGATGAATCCCTCGTTCACGCGACTCTAATGGCTCAAATGCCGGATTCTGGGGCGGAGTACGAGTCCTGGGAGTACAGAGATTATTCCAAGAGGGGGGAGGAAGATTGCCCCTGGGTCGACATCTCAGATAACATCGTAATATATTTTTTTCTCTATTCTTTTCTTTGCCTTTTTCTCATTTGTGGGTGAAACGAAAAAACTTTTTCGTTTCTTGAGGAGTAAGTTTGACAAATAATTTTTTTTCGCATGGTTTTCCCCCAGGAATCTGATTTTTTAAGTTCATTTATCAGCGAAATAATTTATTAATTTCTTAACTATTTCCCTAATTTCGATGGATCGATTTTATTTTGAAAACCTTGGGTTCGTAAATGAAGTTTACACCTAAAATTAGAACAAAATTTTTTTTGACCAATGAATTCCAAAATGCATCATCTCCCTCATTTTTTACAATAAAGAAACGAAAATTAGTGATTATATTGAAAAAACTGTTTTTAAAAATTAGTACCTTGGGAATTATTTTTAAATTGAATGTTTCATTTAAAGTGATAAAAAAATGTTTTATTTGAAAAAGCTATTGTTCTTGAATAAAAATTAATTTGTGGTGACAAAATGCAATATCTTTTGGAGAAATTCAACCTGAGAACACTTGAAAATTGCTTGCCACCCCTAATATTTCAATTTTCTAGGTGAACTTCAACCCTGCGTGGTACATAGAAAAATACAAAAATAAACCAGAGTTCAACGAGAAGTTCGACATCACCTTCATAGCGAATAACATCACGAATCAAATTCCCAACATAATTCCCTGGGTGAAAAGAAAAGGACTCGTTATGATCGAGTCTCGACAATTCATGACAGAACTGTCCAAGGAAGACCACGAGAAATTTTCCAACGATCTGAAACAATTAACTGAAGCCTCTAAATTAAAACAAATCGAACCCATCGTCGAACCTCTCGAGAACATCCTGCGATACACCAAAGATTGAAATAAAATTGAACAAAGAATAAAATGAGAAATAATTTTAATTCTACAAACGACAAGTGATGTAATCGTAATAAGCAATATACTATATTAAAAACGTGAGCCTCGGAGGTTTGGAGTATTTACAAATATAAGGGGTATTTATTTAATAGCGAATTGTTTATAAGACATTTTTTGGATTCATCGTTAACCGAGCAGCTCAAAGTCCTCGTCTGACGTGTCGTACTGTCGTTCTAACTTTTCAAAACCTAAAACTGGAGAAGAATATGATAATTAATCACCAAAAGAGACAATGAGCGAATTTAAGAGAAAATGTCAAAATATGTTTTTACCTTCTTTAATTCATTTTTAATTTTTTCAAAATTTATAAAGTCTTGAAAATAATGAGATTAAAATAAAAAGCCATCTTAATAACTTTTTAAGGGGTTTCTAAAACTATATCTAAAACTTTCTAAAACTTTTTCTAAAATCATTCATCAGATGTTTTTACTTTTCTCATTAATTTTTATTTTTAAGTTCTCGAAAATAATGAGAATAAAATGAAAAGGCCTTTCGATAATTTTTTTTAAAGGATTGTTTTTTCAGATAAAGATCAGATCTAGTTTATTATTTGTCTTGGAAACGAAAATATTGTCGTAATTATTACAGTTTAAATGAAGAACTCGACGATTTTAGAAGAGGTAAAGACGTTCAATGAAAATAATGAAATAATAATTTTGTTTTTTTACCATTTGAGGATGTGATTCCCAAGGCCTCAGTAGCAACGTCATCCAGGGGTGACCAGTGAGCTGGACGTTCAGCGCAAAGTTCAAAAAGTGGTTGTTTCTCAGGTGTTATCAACTCACTCTGCATTGATCTGCACAGAGACTTGAATTCCTTCTCAGTAGCACAGAAAAAGCACTGCAAATCCCAATTGACCAATTAAAAAGAGTGACTGTCACCCAGAAATTATAATTGTTCATCCACCCATTATAAAATTCCGTAAGAAATTCCGTAAAGTGATAAAAGAAATCAATTTAAATACCAAAAATTATAAAACTATTTGATGAATTCCTCAATCTCCTCAAAGGAAAAAAGTTTATCATATAAAACAATCATTTGATTCTTCAAACGTCGCTTAAATTCTCCAATGAACAATTGTTGATCCAAAGTTTCATTTAATTTGTTAATTTCTGTTGAATGCCATGAAAACAGCTCTCATTCAAAAATTGAATTGATTTGTCTTCAATTTTTTTGTCAATTCTAATTTACCTTTCCATTAAAAAATATATATATATTATTATTTGTTTTTTATTGTTTTTGAAATCAGCAAATGATCTTAAACAATTTGATACGAAAAATATGACGAATTGACTCACGAGAGCAACAGAAGGATCGATCCCAGTAATTGGTATTCTGCTCGCTGTCTTGCAGTGGTACGTTCGGTCGAGCTCCACCTCCTCCTCCTGAATCTTCTGATCGACACATCCATATCTCTGAGTCGTGTGGGGATCCAGGAATATCACTTGATCACCTGAATTAATAGATCAGTCTATTACTGCCCTAAAATATTGACGATGAGCTCGACTGGTCGACGTTTACGTACCAACACATCCTATGAAGTACAGAGCGAGGTTTGGCTTGCCCCCAATGACGCCCAGTGACTGTGGGAGCTTGAAAGACGTCTGGAATAATTAAAAATTGAATTGAAAACATTTATTATTTCCTGGGATATAAAATCCCCTGAGGGCAATCCATTGTTTACAATTATTAATCTTTATGTAAAACTAAAATTAATGTGTATTCAAGATTAAGATCTTCGTAACTAAAATTAATTGGAAGCATTTTTATCTTCATCTAGTCAATTTCTATCAAATTTTCTGGTTTTGTTTTGTTCATTTTCATATTTTCACTTTTACATAATTATTTGTTGAATGGATGAAATAAGTCTGTTGGTTAGGCTATTGCGGGGCCTTTTCAACTGGAATTTTCGCTTACTTTGAGGCCATTGATGTAGACGGGATTGATGTCACTCAGGCCAAGGCGCAGCGGTATCAACAACAACAGTGGTTTCCACTGACTGGAGACCCTCAAAGGCTCCTCTCCGTCCAGCTCTTCAGCTGGTGCTGCACCCTCGACTCGGCACTGCCTCACTGTGAGTTCAAGCCTCCATTTAATGATTTTTTAATGACGCCATTGGAAATTAGGTTTTTGGAACAGAAGATATTTATTTGACTTTACTACGATTTTTTGAAGAGGTAAAAATTTAATAATTGCTTCCCTATTTTAATCTATTTTCCTGGGTCATCTTTGATTCTACCGTTTCGTCTCGTAAGTGAAAAGAGAAGGCTTATCGTCACTCAACACCGAGATAATTAAACATGAATCTCGTTCCAGTATTAATTATAGAAACAACTGGAATTTTATTTTCTTTGAAAATTATTGATGTTATTATGGAAATTTTGGCGAAAGTCGACTTTCCCCCCGAAAAAAACCTAAATATGGCACTTTGGCTCCGGATGAAAAAAAAAATTTATTTCGACATTTGTCGCGCCTCCACGCGTTTCATTGCCATCAAAATCGTTCAAAAATACAGAATCAGCCTTCACTTGGCGAAAAAATTCGATTTTGGCGAAAGTCGACTTTCCCAAATTCGAAGATGAAATAAATTTTTCATTTCGGTTGTCACAACTCATGAGAATTAAATTTTGCTCACATAACATTAATTAATATTATAATGAAAAACTCTTAATGGGTAATGAGAAATGAATTCCAGAGAAATCGAAATGAAGAATTTGGTGAATTATTTTAATTTTTTTTTGTGAAAATATTGTGAATTGATTTGGGAGGTACTCACGAACGTCATTTATTATCAACGTGTTGTCGAGAGCCACGTGGATCGTTATCGAACTCCAATCATCGTAAACTACTAATTTTCTGCGAACAAAAGGGTGAAAGAAGAATTAGAGTGAGCGATTATGATGAAGAGGATGCAACGAAATGTTTCGAATGGAATATTCTGGAAATATCTCAGAAACTGCTGGATTTTTAAATCCTTCAGGAAAATAGCAAACGAGCTTGTTTGTGGCTAGAAAATTTCTAATACAAAATGTCTTCTGATATTCATAAGAAAAATCGAAAATTTAAATAAAAACTCAATTTTTTAATGAATTGAATACACTAATTGTCGAAAAAAATTGATAAAATTAAGAATTCAATATTTTGATGAATTGGAAAAACAGAATTATCAAAAAAAATTGATTAATCACAGAGAAAAGGTTATTAAGAAATTAATTACCGGAAAAAAAATGTAAAAACAGTAATGTGTCAAGACCAGTTATTTTAAGGATAATTTAATACAAAAAATAATTAATTTTTTCAATCGGAGAGAAAAAAAACAGTTTTTTAATAAATTGAAAAAATTGAAAAAATTAATTTCCGAATAAATTTCAATCAGTTAAAACCAGTAATTTTAGAGATTATCTATTGATGATCCACAACTTACTTTAAAACTTGGGCAATCGTATTGGGACCGAACCACTGTCCAACCTCTTTGCCCTCAGAGGCTCCCATGAGTGCAATCAGATGGATAGAAAATGGTGCAGTTCGTTTATCCTCGAATTTATTCAGTATCTTTAAGTATGTGCTGTCCCTGGTTTGAGGAGTCCATTGCCAGTCCCTTCCTGTCGCCACAAAGATGCAAAAACCGATAGAAATGGGGGTGAATTAACAGAACTGGAGGACTTGATGGTAATTTAGGAGGAGAGACGAACCTAAATGTAAGGCAACGAGAGCCTGGGCGAGAACCATCTGTCCACACCTGAGCATACACCCCCATCCTTTATCCGATGTAAATGTCGAGCTACCGCCACCAATAGGTACAAAACCCTTACGATAAGTAAACCACAGCTTCGATCGTATGTCTCTACGTATTATATCTAACTCTAAAAAATCAAAATAAGTTTTTCGTCTATAAAGGAATAAGCATCAGCTCCTGCTCTCACTCAAGTAATTACTCTTCAATTTTTCATTTATTTAAAATGATAAAGTGGAGTGGAGTCGTCGATCAGGACCGATCAACTCGAATAAATCAGGTTTTGATGAATTTTGCGATTACACTGAGGGATAAGTTGGAGCTAAAATTATCTAGAAATCTCAAAAAATCTAAAATGAATGAAAAATACAAATAAAAATGACATGTCTTGCAATGAATAATTTTTTTTGGAACTACTAAATCGATTTCATTTTATTCAGATTGAATCTATTTCTGTGATATTTTTTTTGTCTCGAGATAATCTTCAAATGATCAGCACTTGATTTTATTAATTTTTTGTAATTTTGGACTTGCGATTTTGTTTAGTTCAACATTTATTGGAGAGAATATTTTTCTTTTCTGTACACAGAAAAGTGTTTTTGAGTAAATGACATTTCTTGCTTGCAATGAGTAAAATTTTTTTGGAACACTAAATCCGTTTTTTTTTTATTTAGACGGAATCTATTTTTGTGATATTTTTTTTGTCTCAAGATAATCTTTATGATCAGCCCTTGATTTTTTTTGTAATTTTGCGATTTTTCTTGTTCAAGTAAGACTTATTCGAGAGAATGTATTTTTTTATTCTCACTACAGAGCAAAATGTTTTTGAGTAAAAAATACTTTTTGTGGAGGATATCTTGATATTTTTTCAGTAAATATTTACGCTTGTGGATGCGAAACAATTCCCTCTAGATTTTAATAAATGATTTCTCATGGATATGTTCGAGAAAAAAATTATATATCCCTTAGGTGAGACGACATCAAAGGGCATGGGGGGCTGAGAATGAACTCATCCCATTCGATTACTCCACTCCAAAAGTAGGAGAGGCAAACCCCCACCTTTGATTGCGTTATATCTCCTCCCCAGAATCCAGACAGGCTCCTGAGTCTGAGGGATATCGTCAGGCTCGTCGGACACATTCTGAGTGAACAGACTGTCCATCGTTAAAGCCTCCTAACGTCAGCCCGCAAAACCGTCCCTGAACTTTGGTTTATCTGCACAAGGAAGAAAACAATGTCGGGGACATGATTTTCACTGATTTTCAGGAATTTATTTCAAACTACCGGACTTCGATTTCCGCTCGCTTCGCTCGCCAACCCCCATATGATCCCCATATGACCTCCATAATCATTATTCTGGCCCTTAATTTGACCCTCGTGACCCTCATTATACCCCTCGTGACTCTTAATTTAGGAATCTTAATTTCGGAAATCAAATTTTCATCACCAGAAGTCGATTTGGATTATTATAATATAGAGAGACATAGAGACCCTTATTTTGACCCTTGTGATCCTTAGTTTTGACCCCCATGACCAAAAAATGCATTCTTAAATTACCAATCACCAAAACAACCCACAATTCTCATGAAAAACTAAATAAATTGTTGTCTTAAAAAAAATGCGACGATTCATTGACAATCCACTGGAGCAATTGAAATTGTCAACCCTCATTCTCACACACCAAAAAATGCATTTTTAAATTACCAACCACCAAAATAACCCACAATCCTCTTCAAAACCTCCCCTCAAATAACACCATTCCTCATTTCCGTAAAAACTCCTCAAAAATTCGAGAATATCCCCATATTCTCCCTAAACCCGAATGAAAGAAATAAATAAATTGTTGTCATAAAAAAAATGCGATGATTCATTGACAATCCACTGGACCAATTGAAATTGTCAATCCTCATTCTCACACACCAAAAAATGCATTCTTAAATTACCAATCACCAAAACAACCCACAATCCTCTTCAAACCCTCCCCTCAAATAACACCATTCCTCATTTCCGTAAAAACCCCTCAAAAATTCGAGACTATCCCCATATTCCCCCTAAACCCGAATGACAAATAAATAAATTGTTGTCTTAAAAAAAATGCGATGATTCATTGACAATCCACTGGAGCAATTGAAATTGTCGACCCTCATTCTCACACACCAAAAAATGCATTCTTAAATTACCAACCACCAAAACAACCCACAATCCTCTTCAAAACCTCCCCTCAAATAACACCATTCCTCATTTCCGTAAAAACCCCTCAAAAATTCGAGAATATCCCCATATTCCCCCTAAACCCGAATGAAATAAATAAATAAATTGTTGTCATAAAAAAAATGCGATGATTCATTGACTGACAATCCCCTGAAACAATTGAACTTCCCACCCCTCATTCCGCAACACCAAAACTACATCCTTAAACTACCAATCACCAAAACAACCCAAAATTCTCATGAAAACCTCCCCAAAAACACCTCCCCCATTGCCGCTGCAACACCCCGCACCCCGAACCCTCAAAACCCCGTCAAAACCCCCAAAAAATTCTAGGTTATCCCCACATCACCCCACTTACATCAACAAAGGCGCCTCGATCCAACGAAGAATGTCTCATCCTCGCGAAAAATGAGAGAACCCCCAAAAATCCTCAACAAGTGTCTTCCCAACGCACATCCACAATAATGAAAATGACAACAAAACTCCGAATTGACAGCAAGAACCGAGAAAACAGAAGACCCCCCATCGGTGGCGCTGCGATCGCCGCCCCCCCGACCCCCTCGAGACCCGTGCGACGTCGTCTGCGTCACACTTCCCCTTTGTCCATCGCCGCGCATTGGCCCTCAGTCCGCGACCCATGGAACGCAGCCCGTGCGAGTGATCGTTCGTGTCTCTTCGTTAAAAAATTGTGAAAGTGTCGAAAATAATCGTAAAAAGTCTCGAGAATCGATGAATTACGTGGTACATCCTCATCGCGAACTAGAACGTGAAAGTGATGAGTAAAATGCGCGCGTGTATGGCCGTTAAACCGCTTGTAATTACTCCGCTAATTGATAATCCCCAGTTTTTCAATTCTTCGTCGAATTGAAGCACCAGACTGCGGATTTTTCCGAGTGAATCGAGTGTTTTCAGTGGGAAGGGGAATTAATTTGTGGCTGCTGAGTGGTTTGGGCCCGCTGGAGGTGCTGGAGAGGTTATCAACGAGGAGAATTGGGGCTTTTCTCGCGAAAAATGGACGGAAAACCGAAGAAACCGAAGGAGAAGAGGAGGTGAGTGCGGGCCTCATCGGTTTGGGGTCCTTATTTATTTTATTTGTTTGGCTTTGGGGCTCTCGGGGCTTCGCGGGACATTCTCGCGGCTGATGCAAGCCTCTGGATACCCAGAATAACTCGGGGTTCTGTTGATGCGATTAAGAGCGGGTCTAATGAGTTTTTTTCGTGGTGAAAACTAGTTATGGGAGATTCTTGTGGCATTTTTGAGTTTTTTTTTCTTTGTGTTCGGACACTGGGTGGTACTACTGAGGGCGCCTGGATCACTCGTTTTGGAGTGGGAGGAATGGGAGAATTGATGGAAGTGGATGGGAGTTTTGGAGACGACAAGATGAGGTGAGGATTTTTCAAATTAATTTCGAGGTTTCGGTCTGAGTTTTGAGGGAAGGAATAACAAATTGATGTGCTAGAACCTTGACAGGGAAACGTGACATGGGGTCGACAGAAAAATTGAGAGAAAAACTCAAAGTTGATATTTTGCTCCGAAAATTCCTTTTGTGATTTTTCCGATTGCTAAAGGTTTTTGCTGGTTTATGGGATTTTCTTCTAGATTCTACGACTCTCAGTGATTCCAAACATTTTTGATTTCGAGTGGCATTTGTCTTTTGGATAGAGTGCTGAGCTAGATATTCCAAAGAATTGATTGGGAGCTGATTTTATTAGAAATCAGTGCTCTTGCGGGATTTTGAGTCTGTTTTTGCCTTTGTGTTTGGTGGCCACTGGGTGGTACTGAGGACGTCTAGACACTCGTTTTGGAGTGGAGGAATGAGAGAATTGATGGAAGTGGATGGGAGTTTTGGAGACGACAAGATGAGGTGAGGATTTTTCAAATTAATTTCGAGGTTTCGGTCTGAGTTTTGAGGGAAGGAATAACAAATTGATGTGCTAGAACCTTGACAGGGAAACGTGACATGGGGTCGACAGAAAAATTGAGAGAAAAACTCAAAGTTGATATTTTGCTCCGAAAATTCCTTTTGTGATTTTTCCGATTGCTAAAGGTTTTTGCTGGTTTATGGGATTTTCTTCTAGATTCTACGACTCTCAGTGATTCCAAACATTTTTTATTTCGAGTGGCATTTGTCTTTTGGATAGAGTGCTGAGCTAGATATTCCAAAGAATTGATTGGGAGCTGATTTTATTAGAAATCAGTGCTCTTGCGGGATTTTGAGTCTGTTTTTGCCTTTGTGTTTGGTGGCCACTGGGTGGTACTGAGGACGTCTAGACACTCGTTTTGGAGTGGAGGAATGAGAGAATTGATGGAAGTGGATGGGAGTTTTGGAGACGACAAGATGAGGTGAGGATTTTTCAAATTAATTTCGAGGTTTCGGTCTGAGTTTTGAGGGAAGGAATAACAAATTGATGTGCTAGAACCTTGACAGGGAAACGTGACATGGGGTCGACAGAAAAATTGAGAGAAAAACTCAAAGTTGATATTTTGCTCCGAAAATTCCTTTTGTGATTTTTCCGATTGCTAAAGGTTTTTGCTGGTTTATGGGATTTTCTTCTAGATTCTACGACTCTCAGTGATTCCAAACATTTTTTATTTCGAGTGGCATTCGTCTTTTGGATAGAGTGCTGAGCTAGATATTCCAAAGAATTGATTGGGAGCTAATTTTATTGGAAATCAATGTTCTTGTGGGATTTTCAAGTCGGTTTCTGTTTTTGTGTTTGGTGCGGGTACTGAGTGGTATTGATGGAGCCCAGGTCACTCGTTTTGGAGTGGAGGAATAGGAGAATTGATAGAAGTGGATGGGGATTTGAAGTTGATGAGATGAGGTGGGGCTTTTTCAAATTAATTTCGAACCCTGTTGGAGAAATTCAGCAGACTTTTCCGGAAAAAGACCTAGAATTAGATTTAAGGGGAAAAAGTCAATGGAATTTGAAGTTTCTCTGAAAATTCAAGTAAAGGCCCGATTTTTCAACGGCAGAAAGATGGAAATTTCATAATTTACTTGAATTTTCAAGTGGAATTTTCAAGTGGAAATGAGTTCTCAAAAATTATCAGCTGAATACCGTGTTGACTATATCAAGTAACAGTCGAATAGTGCAATTCCGTAGCGAAGTGGTAAAACGGTTCAAGTCGACTTATCTCCTAGTTGAGTTTTTGAGGAATATTTCCGAATCTAAGGAAGATAACGAAATTTTCGTAATTACATTTGTTGTAGCTCTCAATCGGCTCTACAAAAAAGGTTATAATAAAAATTTTGCTATCTCCCTCACATTCCGAGATATTCATTGAAAACTGGTCAATAGTGAAAATTGACTTGTACTGTTTTACCACTTCGCTACTGAATTCTATTGGCTGAAATTTGGATAAAAAAAATTCTCAAAGTCAAAATTCCTTGAAATTTTAGTGGAAACGTTACATCTTAAAAATTTCCAAAACTTTTACCGGAAATTTCAGTGGAAAATTTTCAACAGTGAAATTTGACGGTGAGGAGGGGGAGGTTGGATCTATTATTGGAGCTATTGGAGATATTGGAATATCGACATACTGGATGCACTGTCCGCATGAATGCCCTCCGCCTCCCCCCACCTCACCCCCAATTCACTGATCACAACTGCGCAATTCTATAACTCCATTAACTTCCTAATCTACGGAAATTAATGACACTAATGACCCCGAAAATGGAATGTGGAAGTGGAAATTGAAAATTCCTTCTTGGCACGAGCCTCGTGGATAGTTTCATCATCTTGATAATGAGTGTGTTTGATATGAGGAAATGAAACGGGTCACACCATTAACAAAAAATGTTTTCTTTACCTTTCCACCTAAAATCAAATTCAACATTTCCACCATTCGTGGAGTGATGCAACTATTGCACTTTTATTTTCGACCGTATTTACATTACACTGAGAGAAAAACAAACACGTTGTCAAACAAATCTTGTTTGGTCCAACAAAATCGCTAGTTGAAAATTGCCATTAATCATCAATATCGTAATGAAAAATAAATAATAGAAATTATTCATCTGCCGATCCCCAATCACAACAAAAAATCGCAAAATTTTATTTTTTATTATCGAAAAAAAAATTGAATAACTTTAAAAAAAACACAAACTTTGAAAAAAAAATCGAATAACTTTCGTAAATTAAATATATGTCCTACGACAAATCCGGACATTTCCCATAAATCCTGCGATCGATGTAATCCCCCAGAATTAAAAAATAGTATAAGAAGTATCACAGGGAGACCAAGAGCAAAAAAAAGAAATAAATTCACAACTATCAATTCGTCTCGCCGAGGCAAATTCTACGTCCGATTGAAAGACGTCAGAGAGTTTCTTGGAAGTTGCATCGTACATTATCTCCTCCCTAATTTTTATCGTTCAATTTTACGGACACATGAAACATTCATGCGAGCAGAGGACATCCCTTACATTCTAATATTTTCTCTTCATATTTTCACTTCCAATTCAATTTTTCTCTTATTCAATTTTTTTCCACTGAAATAGTGTTAATTTTCAACGAATTTGTGCTTCATCATTCATTATCTTTTTATTCATTTTTTATGGGTCTCGCAATGATTTGGTTACTCGGAATTCCGAAAAAAAAATCGCCCCAGGCGGAGAAATCAGGCTCCACAAGAGGCTTAATATTTTTTCTTCGCATCTGTTTCAAATGAAAGCCACAATTTTTCTCGGGTTTTATTAGTCAATCCCGAGAAATCGAGGGGCTCGGGGGATTAATGACATTCAGGGGCTCACGAAGGACGTGAAAACCAGGCTGGAGTACGTGACTGAGATGATGAAAATTGTGAACTGACTATATTTTAAACAGTACTAACGTCCCATGATTTTTTTTTATTTCAATTGATGAATTGATTAAACCCCCCTTCTGTTCTGCAGTCCAACACGCGGCGCATGAATGTACTGACATGTGTTGGTAATGACATCCACTATCTTGTCCGGAATTATTGGAATAGGGAACTTGCGTGGAGTTTAGGTTTTTTCGATTTCCCTCTTCACCTATTCTACGTAATCCATTAAGAGCTAAACGAGAAGAATTGTGGGGAAATATTGCCGGGAAATTCCTTGAAATTTTCATTCAGAATGAATAATGATGCGCAGATGAATAAATATTCAATCATTAAGAGGCTTCAGCCCCTGCTCGCTTTGCTCCCGAATTCCGAGGGGGGCTTCGACCCCTCGCTCGCTTCGCTCGCCTCCCACCCGTCGCTTAATTGATACATCCGATTCTCATCAGTTGTCTTGCTTTTTGCAATGAGAATGACTATAAACAATTAATTTAGTAGCAAAGTGGTAAAACGGTTCAAGTCGACTTATCTCCCAGTTGAGTTTTTGAGGAATATTTCCGAATCTAAGGGAGATGGCGAAATTTTCGTAATTACATTTGTTGTAGCTCTCAATCGGCTCTACAAAAAAGGTTATAACAAACATTTTGCTATCTCCCTTAGATCCCCAGATATTCATTGAAAACTGCCCAATAGTCAAAATTAACTTGTACCGTTTTACCACTTCGCTACTGAATTGAAAAGAGGAATTGAATCTGACTGAGAATAGAATAATTTACATCCTTTGAAAAATTGAGATTTTTGTTATTCACAAGAGGCTCCAATCAACGCCCTTTGTCGTGAGAGACCCCTTCATTTTTCCATTTATTAAACCCCAATATGACTTAATTTACAAAATTATTGCACAAAGAGAAATCCCTTGAACTCAATGTAGAGAATAACTCCGGAGTCAAATTCATTGGTGACGTTAGGTATCTATTAGGCTATCGCAGAATTAGGCCGAGTCCAAGGTATAAAAAATCCATTGCTTCAAATAACAAAATGAAAAGAGAATAAGAGAATTTTCCACACACATTGACCCTTGAACGCATCACTTCATGGGACCCAATTGTCGTCAGTTTGTTACGTGATCCACATAATCCCGAAGAAAAAGATTAAAAACGCATGCAAAATGGGTAATAACAGTTTGGAGGGTAGCGATTTGCGACATGGAGAGCATTTCGCGGAGTAAATTCTCGTGCACAGA